AGTTGTGATAATGAGACTACAATCAGGACAGCATTCAAGCAGGTCTTCAAACCATGCATGGAGAAGGTAATTACAGTGAGGCCCAGACCTCCATTACAAGAGAAGAGGTACAGCTCTCTCTCTCTCTCTCTCTCTCTCTCTCTCTCTGTGAGCTCTCATCCTACATGTTCACATTACAGAGCCACTGTTAAGCAGCCATAGATCTTTCAGCATCTGGAGTCGATCGTTGTGTACTGACACATGAACTACTCTCAGGCACTGACCTGACCACCAGCGGCCATGTACTCAGTCTGTTTGGACCTTATATCACTCCCTGTGTTTATAGGAAAAGATTTAGCTTCAGGGTGAGATGTTGGAGGGGGCTGTTTAGAGATAAGAGACCAACCTCCCTTTCGGGAGCGCTTTGGTACTCTAATGAACAGCCGAGCTCAAACATGTCAGAGCTGAATTATGGAACCTTAAAAAAGCAGGGGACCTGGTCTTTAGAGTTTTAGTCATGCCCATGAAGCTAAACTCCTGTGCAACGTCATCATGACAGAATCTTAAACTAATTCTGGAAACATGCAAATTTAAAAGCATTAAAAAAAGAATATTATTGTTGTCATCATAGACCATTTTTGAAGGTGACGTTGTACAACTGCCTGAGATTTTTAAAGAAGTTTAAATTATTTTTTTGGCTCCTAAGTGGTTTAAACATGCTGGAGTTCTTGTAGATCTGAAAACCATGCCAGGGATTCGAAATAGCAATTAAAGCAATGTATACGGTTGCAGTGGGAGTACTTTGTACCCACAACCATGTGGATGAAAGTTGTCCTCGTTCTGCACAAAAAGGGTGAGGTAAGGTAAAGTAAGGTCTGCAGCACTGTGGGATTTAATTCCCCATAATTTTCTCTGACTTCCCTCTGTATTTGACAGGACACTAAGCACTACTATACACTTTCAGCAGTTTTTAAACTAATGACCATGTTTCACAGAACATGTCATGATGCATTGTTAACTTTCCCAAAATTCCTAGATATTTGCACATGTTGGCTCAGATATTTGTATGCCAGCTGTATTAAGGTGTGTAAGATTCTGTTAATAATCAAAAGACATCACTATTGAGTCTGGCAAGAAAAAGATATATTGAAATACTCACAGTTCCTGAACTGCTGCAAGTTGCTCTGATCAGTCATTCACAGTTCAGAGCTATCTGGTCCAACTTGGTGGAAGTTTTTAGACGTAAAGGTCATATGCCATCACAGATACATCATTTACCAACAGTAGCAAGCTATCTGGCTAGTGTTAGCCATCAAGATAAAGGACATGCTGGAAACACAAATTGGAGTGGTGAAGAATATTCACAGACCTGATAACAAAATACACGGTGACCAGATATCAGATACTAATAATTTTAATTTTATATATACACACACACACACACACACACACACATATATATATATATATATATATATATATATATATATATATATATATATATATATATAATCTCACAAAGCCACAAAGCACAAAATTTTTCATCCAGCAGTTTTAATTTATTTGGGTATTTTACTGGTCACAGTTTGGGTACAATATAGCTGTCTCTGTAAAACCTAGTTTGCAGAAACCTTTTTGTGGTCGCATTCATGTTATGTGTCTTATGTGGCTTTTACGATCACCTTTGACATTGGTTCTCAAAGTGGGGTATGGGTACAACTTGGGTTCTGTGAAGCATAGTCAGTGGGTCTGTGATATTTTTCTTAATTTTTATGCTTAATCAAAGCTATTTATTGCTGAGTTCTTATAGTTATTAGCTAATTTAGTTTGAATTGAATGGGTTGTATCCAAACCTCAATAAGTGAAAAATAGGTCAGCCTATAAATAAAGTCAATTTAAACAGAAAAGTTTAGAAAAAACAAACAAAAACCTTATTGCTCTAAGATATTTTTGTATGCATTTAAATGATGAGCCTAATATTTGAATAGATGGATTATACTCAGAGTAGGTCAGTGAAATTTATTTTACAGTTTGAGAACATGTGACCTTTGACATTAAAGCAGGTGTACTTCCAGTAGGAATTACATCACTGGCAATTTCAGTTAAACTAATAAAGTAAATGTCTGGTTTTTTTTTTCACTCTTAGGTTGGTACATTTATTTCCTTGGTATTATTTTGACTTTTCTAATTATTATAAATTGACTGATCTATAGAGTCAGGTTAATCTTTAACAGTTGTTCTAGTTGCTCACATGCACATCAAAAGAAATAATTATGGAAATCTTGCTATTCTCGACAATTCAGTAATTGTGAAGGAAGCTGTTGGCTTTAAAAAGCAGCATATCTCTGACATAATACCCTGCACTAATGCATTTCTGCAGCAGGTTTTATCTCTTGCTTGCGATTATGCATTATGTTAGAGCTTATCTAGTGTCACATTTGCAAACTTGTAACAATTTGCACGATTTAAGGGTTAATGTTTGGGTTAGTGTTCTTTCCTTTTCTTGCAGTTTCATCTTATATCAGCATTTATATTCTCACTGAGAAAACTACACAGGGGTTTCTTTGATGGGGTCTTGTACAACTCTTTCTTCCTGCATCAGAATCTTGGAAAAGTGCCCAAACAGACAACCTGCTTGGTGCAGCCGGTGATGAATGACTGCGATGATGATGGGAGTGTAGGGAGAGCTCAATGTGCTGCTTGACAACAGCAAGCTGCTTCTCAGTGGAAAGCGGGTGCTCAGCCCAATTCCTCATCCCCCTGGCCTGATACTGAGCACCACTGCAGATGCTAGTGCTAACTTGCCAGATCCATCCTCTCTCACCTCTTTCTGCTTTCCATTTACTCTGCACACTCTGGGCATTGATGTAGACCCGTAAACAAATTGGGTCCTTGAACGAGGACCATCTTTGGGCAATAGTTCTGATTGATTTTGCTTCTCACCTCCACAAAAAGGCCATTAAAATCTAAAGGCTGATAATTAGCTGCCGGAGGATAATGCTCTTTTGACGTACATGGCTGTTCTATTGCCTCCATTGTGGAGCTATAATGGGAACTGGCCGTCTCGCATGGTGAATTTCAATGATTGTGAAGGAAGCTGTTGGCTTTGCAAAGCAGCATATCTCTGAGATAATGCGCTGTAGTAATGCATTTCTGCAGCAGGTTTTGTCTCTTGCTTGCGATTATACATTATGTTAGAGCTTATCTAGTGTGTGCACCATGTTCGAATAGACACAATGAACAGGAAATAAATAAGACATTTAGCTGTCAAGGACACTGTCTGTGTTCAAGCATGCATAATTAACAAGTAGCGTTTCCAACCTTGCTTCCTGGGAACACAGCTAACATATAAGGCATAGTCTTGCTCTGTGGTTCCACATTATACGTAAAGGGAGAATATCTTGCTCATGAAAATCTTGATCGTAAATTTGTATTTTTATGAACTGGTCAAATTGAATTTTTAAAATAAACTGTTCTACAATAGAGGGCTATCACTGTACCTGTGTTTGAGTTCTGTTGTATGTGTACTTGTTAAAGAAACATGCCAACATATCCACTATTCATAGGGGCAAGATGTTTGATATGAAACAGTGATGTCAACATTTAATTAAGGTAAATAAAGTAGGTAGACTTTAGATTATTCTTTCCTTTAAGTAAATTTAACCCTGTAACATTTAACAAGAAAGAAATGGAGTAAACCCAATAATTAAGAAGTAATGTAGTGGTGTTACTCAATGACATGGTGGCATTCAGACAGATTTTGTGAGAGTGCAGACTAACATCTTTGCAAAAACAATATGCCAACAGTTACATACAGTACATACAAAGTGAATAAAAAGTGATAACAGGAACTAATTTGTTTCATGGATGTTCCATATTATTAAATGTAACTATAGATAGATAAATGCCATGTAGAAAAAGATAGATAAATGTGGCATGTCATTGTTTTAATAATTAATAATCCAATCATTGGCAAATTACTGTGGTATAAGAGGAAAAAAAACACTTTTGGAAGTGATTCTATGGAAAAATATCCAACTTTGCATTAAACCACACTGTTGTTCATTATTTTCCTCATACAAGCACGATCCGTTGTATTATTCCTTACCTATTCACAGCCAAAAAAAAAAGTTTTCATAAGCCACCTTATACAATAATTATTCATAAACATAGTGTGTGGAGAAGATGATAAAGTCTGGGGGGATCCACAGCTTCACTGTAACTCAGGTGCTCTGTTATGATGAGAAACCTTCGTATCATTTCCATTGCCCTGGCTCAGTGATGTGGCTTCCTCTTCAAGGAGTGATACAGGAATATATGAAGAGCATTAATAAGATGAGGGGCCTCTGTTTCTCTCCCAGCAGGACTGAGCAAACTGGAGGTTCAGGTAGGAAGTGTTTATGAACTGCATGTAAAGATGTTGGAAAATTCCCCTAGTCTCATAAAGGAGAATCACCCAGAGGCCTGGAGTGATATAAAGTTTTGGCAGGGTACAATAAGCATGGAAAAAGAAAGACCTGTGAAAACATGACACACAAGAGAATACACAAACTTTCTACAGGTCTTACACCATACTCCAGACAAATGTCCTGAGATAATAACAAGAATTGGAAGTAGTCGATGACTACCGCCCACCTCTGATCGAACAAAAGCAGTGTTGTGAAGAAGATACAGTGATGAGAACTACTGATGTAGATTCAGTCAATGGGAAAGACAAAGCCACTGTAGTAAACATAGTGTCATGACTGGAAATCAAGAAGAATTCTTGTTTGAAGTTACAAATGGTTAAGATTATGGTAGAGGTTAGCAACCATAGCTTGCAGCCATTATTCAAATGTTGTTCCTCTTTTAGCTGCTCCCGTTAGGGGTCGCCACAGCAGATCATTGGTCCGCGTATTTGATTTGGCACAGCTTTTATGCCAGATGCCCTTCCTGATGCAACCCTCCCCAATTTTTTTATCCGGGCTTGGGACTGGCACTGAGACTGCACTGTTGCACGCAACCCCAGTGGCTGGGGATGTTTCCCTGGCATGGAAGCGAACCCGGGCCGTAGCGATGAGAGGGCTGTGGCCTAACCACTAGTCCTCCAGGGACCCCACAGCCATTATTCAAATAAAATCCAAAATATTTGCCCTTTCTTGACTTTCTACAAATTTTACATCACTTTAGTGTAGAATAATCTCACTTTGTGCACAGGGGCATTGTCATGCTGGAACAGATCTGGGCTTAGCCCTTTAGTTCCACCAAAAAGAAATCTTAAAGCTAAACCATACAAAGACATTATAGACAAATGTGTGCTTCCAACTTTGTGGCAACAGTTTGGGGAAGACCCACATACTGTATGGCTGTGATGGCCAGGTGTCTACATACTTTTGTTCATTTGGTGTATCATTTTCATAAGAGCCCCTGAATCAATAAAAAGCACTATTCAGCTCAAAAACAAAGAAGGGCGTCAACACATTGTTAGGCATAAACATGTCACAGCATTCATATTGCCCACATTATGCTTTTCAAGCCTCGAGCCTCAAAACAAATGTGACATCAGACTTTCAAAGAGTACTTTGGACAAACATATTTTGGATGCGTTTTTCTGAAAATGTCCTTCTTGGATCAGGTTTAGATTAAGTGTAGCCTACAGTAAAACATGTTGGATTTAATGCAAAGCATCAGGGATCTCCATGTGCAGAAACATCTGTGGAAATCTCACAATCTAGAACACACTTCTCAGCAACCCAAACAAGATTAGCTTCCAAATAGGTTTCTTTACTTATGGGAGTCATAAAAGCTATTTCCCATTTCCACACATTCCAAATAATATTTGGAATGTGTACATTATACTTCAGATGTAACAAACAATTGATGTATACATATGAATTTCTTTAGAAAAGTGACATATTTCTCCCAATGTTACATTTGCGGTTTAGCCCTGTCCTGGTTTACTACCATCTACCATCCGGTTAAGTAAGGAATAAAACATGACAGGGCATGCTGGGTATGCATCCTGATTAATTTCCATGTCCTGAAGTATTTTAGACTTCTTTCCTACCACAGAAATTTGCCAAATTATTATTTTTTTATTAATTAAAGACACATCATATTGTTTTATCCATTTATAGATACATTTAATGTTGTGAACAGTTAGTTCCTGTTATTGTTTGTCATAATTCACCATTTTTTTTTCTTTTTTCTTTTTCTAATACATGCAGCTGGTCATGTTACAGAGAATGCCTTCTGTCCTGAAAACTTTCCTGTGTCAGAAATCTTAAAGTTATGGTAATATCTGTGACTGTTCAAAGCTGTGACACTGGAGACTCCTTCCATAAAGTCTTTACAGAAAACATTTTTTTAATGTAGAGCATCCACCATACAAGTCTGTTTGTAATTTCTATTAGAAAAAGTGCTTTAATATAATCCTTGCAGGCGGCACTATTGTCAGAGCTGCTGTTATGGAAAATTAATCACCTTCTGACCAATGAGTAGAGAATTCAGCAGTGCTGTGGTATAATGTGGGAACCAAATCTTTACTCAGTGTAATTTGCATTTTGCACAGATGCATGTTTTCAAATGCCACAAACAGAAATCGTGATGCCTCTTTAATTTTTTTTCCTATAATCACCAAATCTTTACTCAGTGTAATTTGCATTTTGCACAGATGCATGTTTTCAAATGCCACAAACAGAAATCGTGATGCCTCTTTAAATTTTTTTCCTATAATCACCAGTGTGTCTAGTCAGCTCCTAAACACAGATGGCTAAAGTATCCAAAGATCCCTTCAGATAGTCACCATGTTTATTTCTTTGCTGCTCCATGTTTCTAAGCACACCACTGTGTGTGTCAGCGAAATGTATTTAAAGACATCCTCTAAAGCCACCTTCAAAGCATTTCAGTGAGGCACTGTGTACAGTTAGAGTTTGTTTAGTTTTTGCAAAATGGCTGACTGTCATAGAAGATAAAGTGCTGTTTGGATCATTTTCCCTTCACTTCTGTTTGGGCCTGATTTATTCATTAGAGCATAGACTTACCATTGATTTTTGTCTCTGAAGCTTGAATGGACAAGCAGGCTAATATTATCTGTGATCAAGGAAGTATTACTACAAAATTACATTATTAATCATAGGATGCCTTGATATGTCAGTTGATTTTGTACAGAATATTACCATCTTGCCCTTCTACAGTGCATTAACTGATCAGTCCAGTCATATTTTATTACAGTTGTATAAAACTGAGGTCTGACTTCATGGTGAGCTGATCTTAAACTACAGAATATACGAAATGTTACTTAATTGGGTGGTTCTTCTCATATTTTTCCAACATGAATTTCAGACTTGGTAAATCTTTGTGACGAAAGAAAAACAAAAAGGTAAATCTTTGTGATGAAAGATGCACAAAGCTCAGCTCAGAGACACACAGGCGGACAGCAGGAATGCTCAGAGATGCTGTTTGTACACTGAGTGAAAGCTGAGTCCAAGAGACTATAGAGTGCAATTTTTTTTTTTTTTTTTTTTGCATTATACCGTATAGGGTTCAAGTACTTGTTGACTGGAGTGAGCTGGATTTAATTGGTTTTGGCAATAACACCACAACACCATGCCTCACTTAACTCTCCTCTGTGTAACACTAGCTTTTGACATATGAGCTTTTTCATGGTTGAAAAGGAAATCTGGATATAATGGAGAAGCTGTGGAAACTTTACATTTACTGCGAGAAGATTGTCTTTACAGTAACAGGGGCATCATTCAACCACATGTTTTGTATCATGGTTTAATTCCCGCAGAGTGTTTTTCTTCCCCATCATATCCATGTAATGACTTGTGCTGCCATGTAGTTCCATTATTCATACGCTTGACCAAATTTCAAGATTGCTCATTTTGCCATATACTGTATATAGGCTGAATATTTAGATGGCAGTTAAACCAGAATATGTTTAATACATCACACAGTGTGTTACATAAATAATCGGTACCACATCACTGGGTTGAAGTCAGAGCTGTTCATTGTTATGTCAATTTGTAATTCCTTACTGATTGCCCTGCTTTTATAGTGGTTATAAAGGCTGGATCATTCCTGCCAACTCTCATCAGTTGCGTGTCAGTTAGATTCTCCTTGATCCTGCCATGATCCATTTCCTTCTCTAAGCAGAAAGAAGAATATAAAAATAAGCTTAAATCACAGTGCTGTTGTATTGTCTATTCTGATTGGCCAGAAGGTGTTGGTTAATTTTTCTATAACAGCACCTCTGACAGTAGTTCCAGCTGTGCTCATTCTAATACATTATCATTTCTATAGTAACTTTCTATAGTGCACAGTGATGAGTATGTCAGGCAGTCCACATAAACTGATTAAAAATGTGTGTAAATGGTGAAGTTTTCTGTGAGGAGACATTTATTTTTGCAAAGTGTCAGCATTTGGTAACTATCAGAGGTAAAACTGTAACTTTTAAGTTTTCCAATATGGGAAAGCCTTCAGGACGGATGGCTTTGTGGATTCTCTGTAACATGGCAAGGTGCATTTTTGTCTGATTAACTTCAAGAGAGAGAACCTAAAAGGAGAGGCTGGTGATAGAATGACTGATTAAAGCTGCTCTAACATTAGTTATAAAAGGAACTAACTTGCTTTGTGGATGCTCCACAAATTAAAAATAACTACAAATAGATAAAGCGTATGACATGTTATCATTTCATTAATGAGAGAATTAGCATTGGCAAATTGCTGTGGCATAAGAGGAATAAAACACAAAAATGATGTGGCATAAGTGGAATAAAATTATTAGAAAATAATAACTGCTTCATGATTGGCTACATCACAGCAATATCATTTAATCATTTAATATTGATATATGCACAAGTTCAGTAACTCCTGACTATGCTTGCGTAACTCAACTTAGTGACAAGAAAGCATTTATAAGTGGGTGGTTTAAAAGTCCTTTTGTTCTCCAGCTCATGTATTTTCCATAAAACACACTGATAATCCTGACAACTCAAAATGGATTCTGGAAAACTGTGGCCGTAATAAACAAATCAGAGAGGAGATCACACTGCATGAGGCTAGTGTATGTGCTGAGCTGAATGGTGGTGCTACCTATCACTCCAGTTTTATCTGGCTCTATCTAGATTTATCTGGCAGTGCATATGGAGCCAGTCTCTATAAGTGTGTTCTTGTGTGAGTAAGGAGCAGCTGATAGATCTCTTCCCCAGGATTAGAGCCTCAGAGGTAAACGCTGCAGGTTTCCAAGAGCGTAGCACTGATGTAAGACAGATCCAGCCTCTGTGCTAATCCCTTTATTTACCCAACACGCTTCTGTTACCATAAACACTGGACAGAAAGCACCGGGACACCGATTTGAGCAATCCATCAACCCAAAAGCACTGGAAAGGCCAGTTAATATCTGGCAGGTACAAAGAGGAACACCCATCTTCTATGAGTTGAGATCAGATTTTTCACCCTTTTTTAAGTAATAAGAGGGTAACTTCATCTTCGGATTACACATTAGCCAGGAAAATATCCTAATCTCATCCTTTTAGGTCTTCAGACCCATCCTTATTTTCCTAGAAGGACTTATGAAAGAAGTTTCCCTATGATAATTTAGGGAGTAATGGAAAAGCGGTCTGAGACTAACCTCTCCTTTAGCTTTTCATCAACGATTATGGCTACACTAAACCCGTCTGACAGTCTGTGTGAAGAAAAGAAAGCCTGTGACCTGGATATTTTTATGTGCAACAAAGAAGATTACTGAGAGCTGAGCATCACATTATAAGATTCAGGGAGGGATAACAGGCTGCTTACCAGCTGTATGCCTAGCCATAATACAGATATGAAATTGTATCATGTATCCCAAGATTTTGTGCAAGTAGTCTAGATTTGTCAAACATAATCCTACATAGTCATATTTAACTATCAATATTTCTGAGAAATGTTAGTTCCCTACGGCCAGGAACAATAAAAGTATGTTTTGATGGACTACAATAAGACAACAGCATGATGGCAGTGGCTGTGTGTGTGGATGAAGTCCAGCCCAAGCACGTCTGGCAATGGAGACAACAGGAAAAACCACCATAGCCAAACCACTGAGCTTTTTCCATTACAACACTGTGCT